ATGTGTCATTTTTATTTAAGATATCCGTTTATACTTTTTATATAAATATTATACTAAAAATAATATATATAAATAATTGATAATTGTGTTCGATATTAGTATTTGTACATACAATTGATTATAGAATATATAACTTATATTATGTAAAATGACATTATTTAATTGTGTGCAAGTATGTGATTTAGTGCATACAATATAATCATTACAAAATCATTCCAATATTTTTATGGATACTCCTTAGAGTGGCCCCAGTAAGTTTTGAGTGCTCAAGTACTAGTTTAAGGTTTTAATTAATTTTTTAAAAAGTGACTTTATCACAATCAGTCAGCTCGGCCCAACTCGAGTCCCAATCCCAATTGTAATGACTTTTTCCTTAGAGAATATCTGTCGATAGCCATACTAAGTTTAGTATATCCAATTCGATAACATTTTCAAGTTTAGACGATTTGCTATGAACTTCGAATTTTTCGAAGTAAAAAGTAACATAAAGATAACACTATTTTATACATTGTTATTGTCGTTCGATCGACGTATTTTTCTGCTTAAACTGTATGAAAATTTATCGATGGCAAAAATAATGACTAAAACATATTCATGTGTGCACAAGTTTATGTTTTTCGAAAATATGTTCGATGTTATGGCGTTTGCATAGTACGTTCTTTTCCGAATTCTAACAAGTATAATAATATCTACCATCGCATCGGTCCCATGGAGCCGGATTAATAATTATTGAAAATCTACATCAGCCTCAAATAACTCAAATTATAAAATTAATTGTAAAATATTATTTCTCAAACTTGTCAAAAGCCTTATTGTTTAATAGGTTGTATTGAATACTTTTTACCAGTAACGTTATTTTTTAAAGAATGGAACTATTAGAAAAAAATGTATTAAATACTCTGTTAATTTTGTGTTTTCTGCTGTTGTTGTGGTTCTTATTTGTACACATTTTTCGAATACGAAAATATTTCACAGAAAAACAATTTATTTTTTGTTTGATACAATTCGATATACTACTATTTTTTTTTTATAACATACATATCATTGATTTCAAATAACAGTACTTTTTGTTCTTAAAATGGTTTTTCCGTTTGAATAAAATATATTAAACCAATTTTACATCTTATACACTATTATTTAGTTACATCATAGTTAAGTCTGATTTTAATTCCTAACACTCCAACTAAAAAAAAAACAAACAAAGAATATGTTTATGCCACTTTTGTGAAAACATATTAACCCTTTGACGGTCATGACTGCTATAGCATGCTATTGACACAGCTAAAAAGTTCAGAAAATAATTAAATTAATTAAAAATAAACGGTATTGTAATGAGTTATATTAACCATGATTATTAATTGACACCTATCAGACGATGATAAATATATCTCAATGTATAACAATCTTTGAGTACTAAGCAGATAGAAGCATGTTGTACTTAACAATGTTATACCTATTGAAAAGTTTGTCAAATTTGTCCCTTTCTGAATTACTAACAAAATTATAGTAATTTTTCTTTTCTCTTATAAATAAAAATAATATTGCACGAAATATAAGTAATCGGTGTTTATTTAAAAATTATCAGAAATTTTGGATTCATTAAAGTCGTTTAGACATATTTTATCTTAAATTTTTTTTTAATAACATTTCAAGAGAATTTTAAACATTAAAAAATATATACATTTATATTATCATTAAAATGTATACGTATCCCTAAATATTTCTCTCCAATAGTCTACCTCTTGTTGTACGCTTGATATGATTGTGTCTTTCCTTTCTTGAGCGAATTTTTCAACGGTTTTAGACGGTTGTAATTTCTCACAATAGTCTTTATAAACTTTACTAAATATTGTTTCATCTATACAACCTAAAACAAAAAAACAAAAACAAAATTTTAAATATCATAATATCTCTTTTTAGAAGATCACGATGCGGTGCAGTTGTTGATAGAGCAATTTATTTTATCTTCGATGTGCAGTTGAAAAAATATTTTTTTTATAGTGATGTGTTTTTATTTGTCTTAATTTATGTCTGGACTAAGGGGTGGTAACTTTTTTTTTTAATTTTAATTTTATGAACGTAAATTCAGGTCTCGTCAATTTTAGTGGTATATGACATTTTATATAACTCTATGTTATTTTTTTCGTCACTTTTTACATCTTCCGGACTGTCATTGTTAAACATTTTTAAGACATATACAACGTTAGATAACATCACATAATTTATAAGTAGTGTTGTTTAAAAAAAAATAGGATACATATTTTCATTTTTGTAAATGCGAATGAAAATAATTTCCTTAAAATCAACTTTTTTACAGTTTTCCATCGAAAATTAAAAAAATATAATATTTAATGGTAAGTAACGTGCGTAGTTAATATTAACCTTCTGGTTGGGCGAATGATTCTTTAAACTCAAAACTCATTAGGTAGGTTTCAAAGGTTTTTAAAGATTCCTCGTCTTCTTTTCCCATGTACTTGCTAAATTGATAAGGTGAAATATATTTTAGTTCCAACCCAGTCCCAAATAAAGGACTGCCCCAGTCTCTACACGTATTGAACGCATCTTTTATAATCTGAAAATTGTTGATCATTATAAAGTTTAATTCCATAAGAAATTATAAAATTTAAATATATCATATACTTAAATATACGTACAACCATTGAGTATATATACTCAATGGTGTAACTTACGTGCTAATAATTACCAAGCAACAAAAAAATGTATACTTTTTATTAATTAATTTTAAATAAAAGAACAAATCCAATTTATACATTTTTTTTGATTTGGGGGGAATGTAAATTTTTAATTTACGTACAGGTATGCCAATATAAACACGTCGCATTATTACAAGCTTTGATGTTTTATTACCCAAACTAAAAACTAAAACTTAATACAAACATTATTTTATTGATGCTATAATACAGGGTGATTATTTTATCATGGGCCACTCAATATCTCAAAGGGTTTAATAAGAAATTCATTTTTTTTTATATATAATATAATCTCAATCTTTCAAATTTTTTTTTTTGTTTTATCCACCTCTCAACTTAGTAAGGAACTTTTGAAACTTAAATGGTAACGTATATCTGTAACAACTGTGAATAAGTGTGTAAGTCGATTTCAGTGGTTTTACAGGAGAGCGATTTTAAACTTTAAGCTGCCATAAGTCAACAGCCATAAGCCAATAACTCACATCTTGCTCAAGATTTTCTGGTTGGTCCAACGAGTAAGACGATTTAATCAAAGTGAGCTAGATGCCTCGGACTTTATCCTAGCGTACTTAGTCAATTTTGACAAAAATTCGACTTACATATATTTCATTAACTTTTTAAATGTAGAGTAATGTACTAAACATTTCGACTGGCTGATAACCAGTTTTGGACAATTTTTTTAAGTTTAATTAATTTAAACATTATTTTATTGATTGCTCAATTATAACACAAATATACTTAAGCTGTTGTAAAAAATAAAAATATTATTATAAACTTTTATGTTTTAGTAACCAAATTAATAAATTATATAAATATTAATCTAGACACGAAACATATAATTTAAATTGAAAAAAAATTGTTTTATTTAGAATACATTTTGTAATACTTTCGCATTTACAGATACTAATAATTAATTATTAAATTAAAGAATGTAGAATTTATTTAAATATATTATTTAGTAGTTAACAAAGTAGTATACAAATGAATACATTAGTACAATGTATACAAAAATGTATACATTTTAGGACAAAAATAAAGTTTTAAGTGAAACATTTGTTATATTAAAGCAATTTAACTCAAATGATTAAGTTGCGATTTTAACTTAAATCTTATACAACAATATACAAAATGTTGACAAGAACGTTATTTCTAAGTCTTTAAACTAAAATAATAATATTGTCCTAGATAAGAATAGCTATTTAGGAAAACTTTAACCTTTATGTTATAAATAATTCATACATTAACCAAAATATCGATAATAACCTAGAAGTTTTAAAATAATAGTATTAATTACCTCATCATCAGATTTTCCAACTATTTGTAAGTTTTGATACTAAAATGATCATAATTTCTTAGATAAGATTGGCTATTTAGGAAAATTTTAACCTTTATGTTATAAATAATTCAAGCACTAAGCAAAATATTGACAAAAACCTAACAGTTTTAAAATAATAGTATAAATTACCTTAGCTAAAAATTCCAGTTTAGGATCCACCGTATCTTTAGCTAAAATTAGTAACAAAGTAGAGAACAATAAAAATATTATAATGTTATATAAAATATTATAATGTTCTATGAAGTAAAACTAGAGGAAACTGTAAGATAAAACGAATTATGTATACTGTCTTTGAATGCCGATTTTATATATGGAATTAAAAAAAAACTAAGGCTATACGAGTACATACGTACATGGAATGTGATTGCTACTGAATTAACGATGTTATTAACAAAGAGGTGTGTAACTGTTCTTTTTAATTTTACAAAAAATAGGTTAGAAATTGTGTATTGTAACACCAATACACATTTTTAACTTGTATCATTATTTCGCTCGAATTTGGTTTTTTTTTTGTGTGGACACTTATTATACGTGCTTAGAAATTCGATGTTTATACTAGTATTATACCATAGGTTTAGAGTTTTTTCGAATAAGATTCAATTTTTTATGATATGTACACACAAATGTGTCACTATGTTGTTATTTCTATTGCGCTACGTCATTTGACTATTTACAAAAAAAATATGAACGGGTTGAAGCTTTTACGGGTTGAAATATTGCGTGGATGACTTTCAGAAGTACCTTTGTCAACACGGGGATAATGATAACCTTTTTTTCTACTGGTTCTATATACTGAAATAGCAGCTATATAAATCCGAAATCGAATGCAATGGTACTTTGGTTGGCCAAACATCGATAAAGTCAACTTCTTCCTTCTTCTTCTTCTTTTGCATCGAAAATAAAAAAATATATTATTTAATGATAAGTAACGTGCGTAGTTAACATTTACCTTCTGCTTGGTCGAATGATTCTCCAAACCCTAAATTTATTGCGTACTCTTTAAAGGTTTTTAAAGTTTCCTTGTCTTCTTTTACCATGTACAAGCTAAATTGATAAATTGAAATATTTTTTAGTGCCACACTTTGGTCGGGATAGGCCCATTCATTACACATATTGAACGCATCTTCTATAATCTGAAAATTGTTGATCATTATAAAGTTTAATTACATAAGAAATTATAAAATTTAAATATATCATATACTTAAATATACGTATAACCATTGAGTATTTATAGTCAATGGTGTAACTTACGTGATAATAGTTAACAAAAAAATGTATACTTTATTAATTAATTTTAAATAAAAGAACAAATCCAATTCATAATTTTTTTATTGATTTGGGGAGGAATGTAATTTTTTAATTTACTAAGAATATAAAAAAATTTCCATTACACGGATTAAAAAAATAAATTAATCCTAAATAATGTTTGTAATTTAAAAAAAAACACTTTGCATTATTATATTACTCAAACTAACAGCTAAAAATAAAGTTAAAAATTGCTATAATATAACACAAATGATATACTTTAGCGGTTGAAAAGAAAACAAACATTTTTTTTTAAGTTTTTAAGTCTTAGGAACCAAATTAATAAATATTAATCCAGATATTGATTCATAATTTTTTATACAACACAATACGCATACTTTAAATAAGAAAAAAAATTAATATTTATTTGGAATAAATTGTTTATTACTTTCGGATTTACAGATACCAATAATTAATTATTACATCAAAGAGTGATAGAACATAATATTTAGTAATTAACAATATAGTTGAAACGTACACATTTTTAGGACAAAAATACAGTTTCAGGTGAAACGTTTGTTATAATAAATCAATTTAACTCAAATGATTAAGTTGCGATTTTAACTTTAATCTTATACAACAATATCAAAAATATTGATAAGAATGTTATTTCTAAGTCTTTAAACTAAAATAATATTATTTTTCTAGATAAGAATGGCTATTTAGGATAACTTTAACCTTTATGTTATAAATTATTCAAACATTAACCAAAATATCGGTAATAACCTAATAGTTTCAAAATAATAGTATTAATTACCTCATCATCAGATTTTCCAACTATTTGTAAGTTTTGAAACTAAAATGATAATAACTTCTTGATAAGAATGGCTTTTTTGGAAAACGTTTTACTTTCATGTTAAAAATAATTCAAGCACTAAGTAAAATATTGACAAAAACCTAATAGTTTTTAATTATTAGTATAAATTACCTTAGCTAAAAATGCCAGTTTAGGACCAACGAATTCTGTAGCTAAAAATAGTGACAAAGTAGAGAACAATAAAAATATTATAATGTTATGTAAAATATTATAATGTTCTATAGAGTACAAACTAGAGTTAAACTGCAAGATAAAACGAATTATGTATACTGTCTTTGAATGCCGATTTTATATATGGAATTAAAAAAAAACTAAGGCTATACGAGTACATACGTACATGGAATGTGATTGCTACTGAATTAACGATGTTATTAACAAAGAGGTGTGTAACTGTTCTTTTTAATTTTACAAAAAATAGGTTAGAAATTGTGTATTGTAACACCAATACACATTTTTAACTTGTATCATTATTTCGCTCGAATTTGGTTTTTTTTTTGTGTGGACACTTATTATACGTGCTTAGAAATTCGATGTTTATACTAGTATTATACCATAGGTTTAGAGTTTTTTCGAATAAGATTCAATTTTTTATGATATGTACACACAAATGTGTCACTATGTTGTTATTTCTATTGCGCTACGTCATTTGACTATTTACAAAAAAAATATGAACGGGTTGAAGCTTTTACGGGTTGAAATATTGCGTGGATGACTTTCAGAAGTACCTTTGTCAACACGGGGATAATGATAACCTTTTTTTCTACTGGTTCTATATACTGAAATAGCAGCTAATAAATCCGAAATCGAATGCAATGGTACTTTGGTTGGCCAAACATCGATAAAGTCAACTTCTTCCCCCTCGAAACCGGTGAAAAAAAATTTGTCGGTTGTCCAACTTTCAAAATTAACTTGCTATAACTTAGTGAAAGCGGTCGGATGTAGTCAACAATTTTATCGATTATTTATTAGGCGTTTAAATCTCAGATACATTTTTTCGACGCGCTGACTTCACCTTCTTGATGATTGAATAACAATTTTTTTTGTATAATTGCACTATTGTATAGTGCAATTTAACCTGTAAAGTTGTAAGACTAAAAAAATAATTTTTTTCCATTTTTCTATAATAGTTATTAGTTAATAATTAAAACTTTTTTACTACCAAAAAAAATACATTTATACTCTGTTAAGCAATGTAGTGTATTAATGTTGATGGTGATATTATAATTTATCTTCATTGGGGAAATTACGACCCGGGTGGGATGTAATAACCAATAACTATTATAGAAAAATGGAAAAAAATTATTTTTTTAGTCTTACAACTTTACAGGTTAAATTGCATTATACAATAGTGCAATTATACAAAAAAAATTGTTATTCAATCATCAGTACGAGAGGTATAATAAATGACGAAAAACCGAATGGAATATAGGTTATCAAGTACTTTTAAGGGTAAAAATGTATTCTGTAGTAATAAAATATAAATATTTTATAAGTTTTTAGACTTCTTGTAGTATAAATTACCATAAAAGCTAAAAAAATGCAAAAAGTGCTGCGGCGGTAGCCAGAGTTGAACCCGGTACCGCACCGACCGCGCTCGACCGCACCACATTTAGTTTTTACCGACGGTTGTAAAATAAGTCTATTTAAGATACACCAAAAAAGTATGTAAATTTCAAAGTTGATTATCTCTGGAATTAGGATGCATTGGCACAAACGCTCGAATAAGGGTCTTTTTATTTCTCATAAATAACATTCATTCGCAATTTGAAGAAAATCCGTCACGCCATCACTGTGACCTCCCCTTGTAAGTAAAATTTTAATCTTGATATTCATCATACTTAATATGATACAGGTATAATATTCAACTGTAACGATGTACTTGTTAAACTCGACTGCAAAATCACACTGTGTGTTACTACAGTAATTTTAAGACAAAATGGACTATTCTACAATTGATTGACATGGTTCATTTCAAGTTTTAGATTTTAGGATTTGTATACACACATGTGTTAATACGTTTTCGTTTCTCCGTTCTATACCATTTTGTAAATAATACGAAACAAAATATATTGAAATTTTCAAAAATCCCGTGGAAATGTACAGAAAACGACTGTGGTGTGAAATTATGAAAGCCGAAAATGCAGAGAAAATATAACAATTCTCATGCGATACACGGTTTGGTTATTTATTCTTTAGTGTAACGATTGTGGAAATTTGTGAAATTTGTCTAGGACAGTGGAAAAATTTGGTGGCATTTGTTGACAGTTATACATACTTTTGAAAGGGAATCTTTTGATCGATACATCTGCGACGACTGACTATACAAATAATAAATTATACGTCTTGGTAGTTTGACGGTACAAAAAATGTTTACAGGGCGTATTGTAGAGTTTATTACCTAAATTTTTGTATGTAACTTAATAAAAGTTGCAACAGAAAAATCATTTCAAAACTATGTTTTTTATAGTAAAATAAATGAAAAAAAAAATTAAGACCTTTCATCCCGTAAACACTATTAATTGGTATAGAGAATGCTAAATCAAGCATTTTGTACAACTTAGGAAATATCAATTGCTAAAGGAGATTTAACGAGGGCGGTATTAAGTACCTTCTCAGCTGCAGATCTAAGCTAAAAGCCAGCATAGTTGGGTCACAGAAATGATTACAATTGAAAGGGATTTTATCACTTTCAAAAAAAGCTTTGATGCGAATCTCTAGATGACAAAATAGGTATACAAATAGGTGAGAGTTTTTTTTCGTTATAAAACTATTGCATAGTTATTAAAGTGATAATATTCAGTTAGGTATTTGTAAATGAATTCGATAGAAATGCAGTAAGTTCCTTAGAAATATAATTGTTTTGTTTTAAATAATTGTATGTACTATATTTTATCGCTTAACACTCAATATCTCATAGGGTTTAATAAGAAATTAATTTTGTTTTCATAGTGTTATATACAATTTTTCACATATTTTGTTCGTTTTTACCACCTTTTAATATTTAACTAAACTTTTTATTAAATTCAACTATTCAGTTGTCTTTAATTTATACTAGTTTGATGCAATTGATAATTGTTAGTCCCGTCTACAGGAATACTCCAACGTTATTAAAATATTAAACTGAATGTTATTGTTATTTGTTATGTGTATCTCATTATTATAGATATTTTCAAAAAAACTTTTAATTAGTTGTTTTTTGTTATTGTATAACGATAAAAAACAAGATAAAAATGACTACGTTATAAACTAAACGAGAAGTTAAATGTGGTTAAAATTTTGCGGCCACAACAGCTGAATACATAAACAATTTGGTTCTTTAAAATTTAGATTATAAATTATAATAGCTGTTATTTCTGTTCTACGTGGAATTTAATATAATATGGGAAAATACTAAGTAGGATAAAAATAACATTACAATTTTTAGGTACATAACTGCTGCCGGTATCGGTCGGTTGACTATATTTTTGTGCATGGGTGTGGCGGCTTATGGTGGCTGCAAAACTCCAAGTGCCATTTTTTTTAATTTAAATAATATACTCTCACTGTTTTGTCGATAATTAGTGTATATTTTAATTAATTAAGTCAATTTCATATAATTAATCGTCGGTATATGGGGATATATGGACTGCCCCTTAGAATAATTAGAGTATTGGCAACTCAACATACACCAACGCCTTGACACTTTCTGTTTTCAAATATTACTGGCTCGTTTATGGCTAACTTCACATTCGTGAAATTTTAGGGATTTCTTGTTTAAATAGGCGACCTTCAAATGGAGAGGTACAAACAAAAAAATGAAGGTGAGGAAACTTTTTCAACTTTTAACCCCCCGAAGTACTATCTAAATAAAATTTGTGATTTATAGTGTTGCTACTCGAAGGAATCGTAACAAACACATAAAAAGCACACATCATAATGTAACTAATGGCCTCTCAACTCCACAACGAAATAAATAAAATACGATATAACCACAATTATCAATGTAATATTATACAAAATCGATTCCTACAATACCCTAGAAAAATAGCAGGTTAACTTAAATATGTTTACAGAATTGAAATCAAACCAGCCTGATTTGGCATAGTTATGTCAGGCTTTTAGGTCTAAATCATCCAAACGAAAAAACATACTACTTCAATACCATTAAAGTGGGTCAAAAGATATTCACTGGATTTAAACTTATAATTCTTACAACAGTTTTCTGCTACCATGTCTCATAGGTACTTTTGTATTGCACGGTTATCAGTCCACACACATCCATCAAGATTGTCAATTATATTATCTTCACTAATGATTTTCCCTTTAGTTGAATGATTAAATATCAGATTGGTAAACATCAATCGTATAACCACTAACCAGCAACCTCTATTTCTTTCTGTATATACAGAAAAGTTAATTTTGAAGTTTGTAGAAAATAGGTTAAATTTTTTGTGTAAACTTTGAACTATTAAGACAGTATAGTAGATACATTATTTGTTTTAATCAAATACATATTATTGTTTTCAAGTAACAGTATTTTTTGTTTCTAAAAATGTTTTTCCGCTAGAATAAAAAATAAAAATACAATTTTACATATTATACACTATTCTTTAGTTATATCTTAGTTAAGTCTAATTTTAATTCCTAAAACTACAGTTGAAAAAACAATTAAAGAATATGTTGCTGCCACTTTTACGAAAAAATATTAACCCGTTGACGGTCATGACTGCTATAGCATGTTGCATGCTATTGACACAGCTACTTACAATTAGTTCGGTTTTTAATTTAGGAAAAAAATGTATCTAAAGTGTAACAACTAACCCTACTCTCCTCTATAATAAATTCAAATGAGCTGCTTAATTTTATCATAATTTTGAAACGAGTAGATTATATTCCGCAAATTTTGAGGCAGAAATACACCCAAAATTTTAGCTAATTAAAAAGTGTGTCAAATTTGTCCCTTTCTAAATTACTAAAAAAGTTATAGTAATTTTTCTTTTTTCTTATATTTAAAAATAATGTTGTACAAAATATAAGTAATCGGTGTTTATTTGAAAGGAACAGCGATTTTGGATTCATTTTTCGTTAAGACATATTGTATCTTGAAAAATTGTTTTAATTACATCTTAAGATAGTTTAAAACATTAAAAAAAAAATATATATATATATATTTATATACATATGTTTTCTATACTCTTATTAAAATACTATCCAATCAGCTAATTTTCGTCAATAAATATTCATTCATTCTCCATTCTTTAATTTCATTACTGCTTTCTTTACTCTTTCTTTACTCATACGAGTTTCCATGTCTATACGCTTCATTTCCATCTCTTTTTGTATCCTTAATATTGTTGCTTCTTTCCTTTCTTGAGCGAATTTTTCAACGGATACACCCAATTTACTACAATAGCATTGAAAAACTTTAGTAAATATTGGTAAATCTATCCAATCTGAAACAAAACGAAAATGTTGAATTTAAATATAAAATATAATATCTTTTATTATAGAGACACGATGTGGTGCAGTTTTCGATGAAGCAATTTATTTTAGCTTCGATGTGCAGCTGAAAAAATATTGTTTTTATTTGTCTAATTTTATGTCGGGACTAAGGGGTGGTAACTTATTATTCATTTTACTTTTTTGAGGGTACTTTTGGGTTTCACCAATTTTAATTGTATACTACATATGAGGCACTCAGAAGCCAAACTGATTAACTCCATAAAATGACATTTTCAGGACAGGCAGTTAATTAAAGTCATTTGAAAAAATGTAAGTACAATTGCCAATGTACTTAGCACACTCTTGTGGTGAAAAATTCAACTACGGAGTTTTCTTGGCCACTGAAAATGCTATTATTCGCAATTTGAAAAAAGTGGAGTTTAATCGGTTTGGCTCCTGAGCGCCTCATATTATATATTATTTTTTTTTGTCACTTTTACATCTACTGGACTGTAATTGTTAAACAGTTTTAAGACGTATACATTGTCTGACAACATCACATAATTTGGGAGCCGTGTTGTTAAAAAAATAAAGGATACTTATTGTAATTTTTGTAAATGCGAATGAAAAAAACTTCTTTAAAACCAACTTTTTTACAGTTTTGCATCGAGTAAGTAAAGTGCGCGTCTAGTTAATATTTACCTGTTGATGTGAATTCTTCTGGAAAATCAAAACTCGTTAAGTAATTCATAATGGCATCATAATTGTCTACGGAGTTTTCCATGTAAGAGCAAAATTTATAGTCTGAAATCTTAATAATTAATTGTCCGTCGCGACCGAACCATTCTCTACAATCGTTGAACACATCTTTTATTATCTGAAAATGATTGATCACTACAAAGTTTAATTCCATAAAATATTATAAAATTAAAATACTAATGTACTAAAATGTATGTATAACCATTGAGAATCTATACTCAACTGTAAGAGCCAATTATTAACAAGGCTATAATACAACACAAATATACTTTAGCGGTTAAATATAAAAAAAAAAAAATTATTATAAGTTTCAATGTTTTAGTAACCAAATTAAAAAAATATATAAATATTAATCTAAACATTATTTCATCATTTTCTTTACAACACAAGGCGTATGACAAGAATTTTATTTGTATGTCTTTAGATTAAAAAAATAATATTTTCCTAGATAAAGTTATTTAGAATACATTTTTTATTACTTTCGGATTTACAGATACCATTAATTAATTATTAAATCAAAGAGTGATAGAACTTAATATTAAGTAATTAACAAAGTAGTAAAAATGTATACATCATTAAGACGAAAATACGATTGTAGGTAAAATATTTTTTATAATAAATCAATTTAACTTAAATGATTAAGTTTCGATTTTAACTTTAATCTTATACAAGTTTTATCACGAACCAGTTAACATCTCACTGAATTTAATTAATAATTGATTTTTTTTTTTTTATTTAGTTTTTATACAATGTGATTTCAATTTTTCACAATTTTTTTTTGTTTTTACCCCCTCTCACTTTAAAGTTTAAAAGTTAGGATGGGAGGAGAAGTCCGGTTTGGAAATGCGTACAGCTAAAAATAATAATACACTCCACTTGCCTTATTATCATTTCGTATACGTGATATCATTGCATCTTTCCTTTCTTGAGCGAATTTTTCAACGGATACACCCAATTTACTACAATAGTCTTTAAATACTTCACTAAATATTGGTAAATCTATCCAACCTAAAACAAAACGAAAACGGAATTTAAATATAAAAAATAATTTTTTTTTATAGGAACATGATGTGGTGCAGTTTTCGATGGAGCAATTTATATTTTTATCTTTGATGTACAGCAGAAAAATATTGTTTTTATTTGTCTAAATTGATGTGTGGACCAAGGAGCGGTATCCTACTTTTTTCATTTCGATTTTTTTAACGTACTTTTGGGTTCTTACCAATTTTAATAATATATTACATATATGATTTTTTTGGTCACTTTTTACATCTACCGGACGGTAATTGTTTAACATTTTTAAGACTTATACAATGTTTGATAACATCACATAATTTATAAGCTTTGTTGTTAAAAAAAAAAAATAGAATACATGTGAATGAAAATAATTTTCTTAAAACCAACTTTTTTACAGTTTCACATCGAAAGTAAAATTAAAATATTATTTAGTGATAAGTAACGTGCGTAGTTATTAATTACTTCCAGGATTGGATGATTCTGGAAACCCAAAACTCATTACGTAGTTTTTAAAGGTTTTTAAAGTTTCCTCGTCTTCTTTTACCATGTATAAGCTAAATTGATAAATTGAAATTAATTTTGGTCTCCATCTTTGGTCTTGGTAGGCCCATTCATTACACATATTGAACGCATCTTTTATAATCTGAAAATATTGATCATTACAAAGTTTAGTTTTATAAGAAATTATAAAATTTACCATTGAGAATATATACTAAACGGTATACTCAACATTGGTGCCAATCATTAACAAACAAAAAAAAATCCTAAATAATGTTTGTAATTTAAAAAAAAAAAAACTGCATTATTTTATTACCCAAACTAACAATTAAAAATGAAGTTAAAAAATATTTAAATGATTGGTATAATATAACACAAATAATATACTTCAGCGGTTGAAAACAAAACCAACATTTTTTTATAAGTTTTAATGTCTTAGGAACTAAATTAAAAAATATTAATCCAGATATTATTTCATAATTTGTTATACAACACAATTCGTATACTTTAATTTAGAAAAAAATTAATTTTATTTGGACTAAATTGTTTATTGCAACAGATAATCAACAGATAATCCCACAAAATGATTCAGGAAAATGTCTGGGAATGCACCTTGAGTCGCGACTTAACTGGAAACATCATGTACGCCAGAAAAAGTTGCAAATCAAAGAAAAAATGCGCAAACTGTATTGGCTAGTTGGACAACACTCCGAGCTAGAACTAACCAGCAAACGTCTCCTGTATGTTTCGATCGTTAATCGTGTAACTTACGTGCTAATAATTAACAAAAAAATGTATACTTTTTATTAATTAATTTTAAATAAAAGAAAAAATCCTATTCATACATTTTTCATTGTTTGGGGAGGAATGTAATTTTTTAATTTACTAAGAATATAAAAAAATTTCCATTACACGGATTAAAAAAATAAACTAACCCTAAATAATATTTGTAATTTAAAAAAAAACACTTTGCATTATTTTATTACTCAAACTAACAACTAAAATTAACTCAAATGATTAAGTTGCGAATTTAACTTTAATCTAATACAACAATATCAAAAATATTGACAAGAATGTTATTTCTAAGTCTTTAAACAAAAAATAATATTATTTTTCTAGATAAGAATGGCTATTTAGGAAAACTTTAACCTTTATGTTAGAAATTATTCAAACACTAACCAAAATATCGATAATAACCTAATAGTTTTAAAATAATAGTATTAATTACCTGATCATCAGGTTTTCCAACTATTTGTAAGTCTTGATACTAAAATGAATATAATTTCTTAGATAAGAATGGCTATTTAGGAAAACTTTTTACTTTATATTATAAATACTAAAAATATTCCAAAAAACCTAATAGTTATCAAATTAATAGTATAAATTACCTTAGCTACTATTTCCAGTTCAGGATTAGCTGAAGCTTCAGGTTGGTCCAAATCCATGTAGCTAGCCTCTAGGATATAAAATAGTAACAAAATAGAGAACAACAAAAACATTGTGCTGTTCTATGAAGTATAAACTAAGAGTTAAACTGTTAGACAAAACTAATTAATTGTACTGTCTTTGAATGCCGGTTTTATATGGAATTGATAATACCACTAAGACTATACGAGTACATAAGTATAGGGAATATGATTGATACACATTTTCAACTTTTATATGGAACTAAAAAAAAATTAAGGCTATACGAGTACATACGTATATGGAATGTGATTGCTACTGAATTTTAAGACGCTGCTTCATTATTTATATTGAAAATTTGCAAAACCAAACAAACACATCGATGTTATTAACAAAGAGGTGTGTAACTGTTCTTTTTAATTTTACAAAAAATAGGTTAGAAATTGTGTATTGCAACACCAATATACGTTTTTAACTAGTATCATTATTTCGCTCGAATTTGGTTTTATTTTTCTGTAGACACTTATTATACTTGCTTAGAAAATCAATGTTGGTACTAGTATTATACCATAGGTTTAGAGTGTTTTCGAATCAGATAATCTTTTTTAGGATTTGTATACAAAAATGTGTCACTATGTTGTTATTTCTATTGCGCTACATCATTTGACTATTTACAAAACAAAATATGAATGGGTTGAAGCTTTTACGGGTTGAAATATTACGTGGATGACTTTCAGAAGTACCTTTGTCCATACGGGGATAACCTTTTTTTCTACTGGATCTATATACTGGAATAGCAGCTATATAAATCCGAAACAAAATGCGATTGGTACTTTGGTTGGCCAAACGTCGATAAAGTCAACTTCTTCCCCCTCGAAACCGGTGAAAAAAAAATTTGTCGGTTCTCTAACGTTCAAAATTAACTTGCGATTATTTATTAGGCGTTTAAATCTTATTTACATTTTTTTGACACGCTGATTTCACCTTCTTTTTTAGCGCAGAAAGCACACGAATCTCAAAAACGTAAAAAAATAATAAATTTATCTAGAAATGACACTACATTTATGTCTAACATTTTAATAAAAAATATTATAATATAATTGACTGCATAATCAAATAACAGGTTATTTTTAAACAATGCCCAGACCTGTTTCAGGTAACATAGTTAGGTTTTATTTTTGAACTAAATTTGTTTTAAACGTTTTCTTTCTAACCAACAACTAAATTCTATTTAATTACCTCCATCTTCTGAGTCACTTAAGCCACACCTAAAAAGTTAACGTTAATTTTAAATAATTATGTTTTCTACACCAAAACTCTAGGTCTGATTACATTTTGTATATAAGTTTTAAGCCAGAAATAATATTGAAACAAAAATACTTACAAAGCATATGCTGCTAGACTAAGTAAAATAATAATCTTGTTATTCATCATATTTAATATGATACAGGTAAAATATTCAACTGTAACGATGTACTTGTTTAACTTGACTGCAAAATCACACTGAGGGTTGCTACAATATTACAACAGAAAACAACTATGAGTTGAAATTGAAAAAGCCCAAAATATAAAGAAATGTACAATAATTGATATGCGATACGTTTTTGATATTTATTACTTGGTGTAACTATTGTAGAAAATGGTGAAATTTGTATAGGACAGTCGTACAATCGGTGGCATTTGTCGATTCATACTTTTGACAAGAACCTTTTGATCGATACAGCTGCGATGGCTGACTACACAAATAAGAAATTATTTGTCTTGGTAGCATGATGGTACAAATATATTTACCGGGCGTATTGTACAATTTAGTACCTACAATTTTGTATGTAACTTAATAAAAGTTTTAACAGCGAGTTATTTCAACACTATCTATTTTATAATTAAATAGATTATAAATTAAAGAAACGAGCCTGTATTGTAGATAATTCTATTTGAATCACTTGGGTTATGGGTATTCAAAAAGTGAATAAATAAAACATCTAAAATTTTGGAATAACACAAAAAACTGTTCGATTTTGTTGAGCTGTTCTAAATTTAACGTTCTCCAGAAAATATTTCTGACAATGTACTGTCTAATGATAATAATGCAGAAAATGCTTGTGACTATTTAACAAGAATAAAACATTAAATTCTTTGTGTTTTGTTAGATTATGACCAATCCTATGATTTTTTGTTTCGATGCAAAGCGCCGAAGGTATTTGGTTTTACTCTGATGTGGGCTTTTTTTTCTTCTGTATACACTGTAACTTTTTTAATACCGGACCAATTTCTTCGAGCAGCAACTCTATAAATCACAAATTTGATCTAGTTGGTACTTTGTGGGAGGGGGGGGGTAAAATTACAATGACATTGAAATAACATTGCTATACAAAAAAAAAACCAAAAACAATTCACGTAAATTGTTTTTTTTTATTATCCTAGAAAATTATCAATAAGTCGGGTTGGCCATGAATTTCTTAAGACCTTGAATTTGTCGATTCGTATATTTCAATTTATGCAAACAGTGGAAATGGGAACGCACATCGAACAACCCAAGTGTTTTTCTATAGTAAAAAAATTGTGTTTTCGAGTAAACGCTTAGGCGAGAATCCGATAAATAATACTTCCATAGAAAATCGTACTTATAAATCTTTATTTACTTTTTAACTGGGTGTAACTTTTGAAACACATGCGCCAATTTGCGAATTTTTACAAAATCCTCACTCTCTAACAATTATTAAAATAATTTATACACCTATGCAATGGTCTTATCATTAATTAACTTATTGGTTCGTATTGGCCTAAAACGGAACCCCTAATTTGTTGAAAATTGTCCACCATTTTTTATTGTCTCTGCCGTTTTAAATATTTTCAAATTGAGCGGAACACGAAACAGCAATGGGAATTTTTAAAATTGATAAAAATAATTTATTGAACTCAAACCGAACGTTTTCGTCATGGTAGTATTTGTAGTATTTCTTTTTTGAAAACATTTTTGGTTATCATATTTTACAATACTATAAAAATACTAAACAATAACCTTTTTTCTTATTATTTTTTATAAGCCTATCAACTTTTAAAAACTTAAATAGTATCTTGTTTACATATTTAATTTACTATTTAAACTGAAAATTATTTTCTGAATAGTATACCGGTCAGTAACCAGTTTTGGCTAATTACTTTGGGAATTATTAAACATTAAAATTTAGGACGGGAGGAAGGGTGGAGTGAAATATTATTTTTTCTGGGTGTTTGAACTTTCAATTTAAAAATAATAATTCTTAACCAGATGACACCGGTGAAATAATAACAAACTGCCACATTTTGTCTTGTGGCAAATAATCTAAAAAGAAAAACAAAATTGCCACATTTCTCTTTACAGCTTATAAAATATTAAAAATGGTAAACTGGCACAACAAACAAATTTGGCAGTTTGGTTTGTTAAAACCTATTGCTAAATAGCTGTAACTTCAAATTGTGGTGTCTGGCTGAGATTTAACTAAGTAGACCCATTTACCACCCCCTTGCGGTGGGATGCAAGTTGTTTTTTGGGTTTTTAGGACCTTTTAGTTGAAAATTTGTCTGGAATTAGAACTCTCATGTACACATAACATGTTAAATCTTAAAAAAAAAAATTATGAAATCATTCCAATATTTTTATGGATACTCCTTAAAGTAGCCCCAGTAAGTTTTGAGTGCTCAAGTACTAGTTTAAGGTTTTAATTAATTTTTTAAAAAGCGACTTTATCACAATCAGTCAGCTCGGCCCAACTCGAGTCCCAACCCCAATTGTAATGACTTTTTCCTTTGAGAATATTCGTCGATAGCCATACTAAGTTTAGTATATCCGATTCGATAACATTTTCAAGTTTAGACGATTTACTATGACCTTCGAATTTTCGAAGTAAAAAGTAAAACAAAGATAACACTATTTTATATATTGTTATTGTCGTTCGATCGACGTATTTTTCTGCTTAAACTATATGAAAATTTATCGATGGCAAAAATAATGACTAAAACATTCTCATGTGTGCACAAGTATACGTTTTTCGAAAATATTTTCGATTTCTTATAACCTTAGCATTTACTATATAAAAAAATTCATCAACAAAACCGCACAAGGGAAACCCCGAAATTCCAACAACCCTCCCTCCTCCTGGGAAAAAGGCTGAAAGTTTTAAAAAATTTGGTTGGCGCAATTTTAAGATTTAACAACTACCAAGTCAAACTAATTCCAAATTTGTATGGAATTTAAACCGTTTCCAATAGAAAAGCTAGAATTTTTTTCGTTATTTCATTTTTCGAAGCAAAGTTTTAGGGATTTAGGTCGGAGAAATTAGACCTAAGGTGACATATACCTAAGGGGAGCAATCACAATTATTCCAGAACTAATTATTTAAATTAAATGACTTAAATCAATAAACTTCAAAAATAGATATATATTTTTTCTTTTTTTCTACGCCAAATCTACACTACTTTGGCATATTAATTACACAAAATAACAATTATTAGTTTTTGTGCCATAAAAGTTGTATAAAGTCTGCTATAAAATATAGCTTATAAGCATAGCTAACAGTTACTGTAATATAATGAAGCTATTAGCTCTGAAATACTATACTTGATACCCTTTACTTGCTTTCCTATATTGTTCCAGACATTAAACAGATTCGAAAGTTTGTGTATTAAAAAAGAGTCAGTGGCGCCACCAAGGGGGGGTCCTCGTGTCCAGACCTCCCCCCTTGAGTTTTTTTAAAGTGGAAAATTGGCTAAGGTAATTTTAGTTATTGTCTAATTATATTTTACAGTAAACAATATTTATTCATTTTGACAATATAATAATTTTGTTTTGGCCTGCTTTGCTGCAGATAACAAATCGTTATCACGTATTGTCATTTTCTTATAATACACATGGACCTTATAACTATACACCGGACTTTGGACCCCCCCCCCCCCCCAAGGGTCCTTTCTGGTTGCTCTACTGAAAAAAGTAATGGAGTAATGTTCTAAATAGACTGTTTTTTTTTACATTGATTAGCTATAAAAAATACTTTTTATTTCTATATTACCAAATGTATAAAAAAAACAGTACAGTGTGGTCAAGGCATAATGGGAATGAAGAGGTCATAGGTTAACAGAAATTAATAAATTTGAAAGTGATGTTCGATGCAAATCGTTGGTTAGTATTTTCATGCCAGTACAGTCCAAACCAAGCACAGTATAAACCAGCAAAGTTAGAAAGTATTAAATTGAATTGCTGTATTTACAAATAAGCATCAAAGCGTTAATTTGAAAGTGATTTTATCCGAGAGGACTAGTACAGTAGTGAGTAGAGTATAGACATAATTACTAGACCTATTATCATGTAAACGCTTGATATAATTTTAATGGCAAAATTTTGATAATTATTTACACTTAGCTATTATATAAGCAAAATTAGGTATTATAAATATTTTGATCACTTCAATACCATAAAAGTCAGTCAAAAGATATTCACTGGAATTGAACTTAATACAATTTTTACAACAGTTTTGGCTAATATAAAGCAATACGACTTAAGAGCGTTTTCTTCAAAGTCTAATATAAGTACATTTTTATTGCACGGTTATCAGTCCATCAATCAGATCAATCAAGATTGTTGATAAATTATTTTCACTCATGATTTTTCCTTTAGTTGAATGATTAAAGCTCATATAACCATGAACCGTATAACCACTAACCAGCAACCACTAATTCCATCTGGTTATACAGAAAAATTAAGTTTGAAGTTTATAGAAAATACGTGACATTTTTTTTGTGTAGACTTTCAGCTTTTAAGGCTGACTATTCTATAGACTGATAGGGGGGGATCTAAAGAGATAAGGGTCCCCTCCCTCTAGTTACGCCTATGGATTTGTAAAAAAAAATATCCTCTTTGATAATGTATCTAACCTATATTTTAGGCTTTCGAATTTTAAATCTCGGTTTAAAATCCAATTTGGACTTGAGTTTCAGTAGTAGATTTCTAAACGGATTGTGAGTCGATTATGTATTGAACAATCTACCTACACGACGTTAACCGTTTTCAAATGGGTTTCATATACTATACTATGTATTACACCTATACCTTATGCTACGCTAGGAAATGTGTCAATATTTTTGTAGTCTTCAGTATAAAAAGTTCAGTATATGACCTAAAAACACTCGATACATTCATGTAAATATCGTAAAAAGGCGTTTGCATAGTACGTTCTTTTCCGAATTCTAACAAGTATAATAATTCCTACCATCGCATCGGTCCCATGGAGCCAAGTATTTTTGTATATTTTTCTCAATTTTCAATAAAAAGTATAAACAGATATTTTATAGACGCGTAGAGTCGAATTTAAAACTTAAATCCTTTGCAGTTAAAACGATATTATTTTTGTGTTTTCTGCTGTTGTCGTGGTTCTTATTTGTACACATTTTTCGAATACAAAAATATTTCACAGAAAAACAATTTATTTTTTGTTTGATACAAGTCGATATACTACTATTTTTTTTTATCACATACATATCATTGATTTCAAGTAACAGTACTTTTTGTTCTTTAAATGGTTTTTTTCCGTTTGAATAAAATATATTAAACCAATTTTACATCTTATACACTATTATTTAGTTACATCATAGTTAAGTCTAATTTTAATTCCTAACACTCCAAATAAAAAAAAAACAAACAAAGAATATGTTTATGCCACTTTTGTGAAAACACATTAACCCGTTGACGGTCATGACTGCTATAGCATGCTATTGACACAGCTAAATAGTTCAAAAAATAATTAAATTAATTAAAAATAAACGGTATTGTAATGAGTTATATTAACCATGATTATTAATTGACACCTATCAGACGATGATAAATATATCTCAATGTATAACAATCTTTGAGTACTAAGCAGATAGAAGCAGATAACGTTCATTTAGAAAACCAAATTCCTTCAAGTACATGTTGTACTTAATCTATTGAAAAGTAATTTTTCTTTTTTCTCATAAATAAAAATAATGTTGCACAAAATATAAGTAATCGGTGTTTATTTGAAAAGTATCAGCGATTTTGGATTCATTTTTCGTTAAGACTTATTGTATATTGAAACATTTTTTATAATAACATCTCAAGATAGTTTAAAACATAAAATATAAATAAAAATATATGTTAATAAATAAAAATAAATGTTTATATACAAATATATTCTATATTATTATTAAACTACTATCCAATCAGCTAATTTTCATCCATAATAATACCTCCGTTATTTACTCATTTTAAATTGCTCGTCTCTACGAATCGTTTCCATCTCTTTTTGTCTCCTTGATATTGTTGCTTCTTTCCTTTCTTGAGCGAATTTTTCAACGGATACACCCAATTTATTACAATAGCCTCGAAATACTTTACTAAATATTGGAAAATCTATCCAATCTGAAACAAAACGAAAATTTTGAATTTAAATATAAAATATAATATCTTTTATTATAGAGACACGATGTGGTGCAGTTTTCGATGAAGCAATTTATTTTAGCTTCGATGGGCAGCTGAAAAAATATTGTTTTTATTTGTCTAATTTTATGTCGGGACTAAGGGGTGGTAACTTATTATTCATTTTACTTTTTTGAAGGTACTTTTGGGTTTCACCAATTTTAATAGTATACTACATATGAGGCGCTCAGAAGCCAAACTGATTAACTCCATATAATTAAATTTTTCAGGACAGGCAGTTAAAGTCATTTGATACAATATATGTAAGTACAATTGCTAATGTACTTAGCGCACTCTTGTGGTGAAAATTCAACTACGGAGTTTTCTCGGCCACTGAAAATTATACACTATTGTAATCCAACCATGCTATTATTCGCAATTTGAAAAAAGTGGAGTTAATCGGTTAGGCTTCTGAGCGCTTCATATTATATGTTATTTTTTTTTGTCACTTTTACATCTACTAAACTGTAATTGTTAAACAGATTTAAGACGTATACATCGTCTGACAACATCACATAATTTAGAAGCCGTGTTGTTAAAAAAAATAAAGGATACTTATTGTAATTTTGTAAATGCAAATGAAAAAAAACTTCTTTAAAACCAACTTTTTTACAGCATCGAAAATTAAAAAATATTGTTTAATGATAAGTAACGTGCGCATCTAGTTAATATTTACTTTCTCTTATGGTTTGTTGTGGAAAATCAAAACTTGTTATGTAATTCATAATGGCATCATAATTGTCTACGGAGTTTTGCATGTAAGTGCAAAATTTATAGTCTGAAATCTTAATAATTAATTGTCCGTCGCGACCGAACCATTCTCTACAATCGTTGAACACATCTTTTATTATCTGAAAATGATTGATCACTACAAAGTTTAATTCCATAAAATATTATAAAATTAAAATACTAATGTACTAAAATGTATGTATAACCATTGAGAATCTATACTCAACTGTAAGAGCCAATTATTAACAAGGCTATAATACAACACAAATATACTTTAGCGGTTAAATATAAAAAAAAAAAATTATTATAAGTTTCAATGTTTTAGTAACCAAATTAAAAAAAATAAATAAATATTAATCTAGGCGTTATTTCATTATTTTCTTTACAACACAAGACGTATGACAAGAATTTTATTTGTATGTCTTTAGATTAAAAAAATAATATTTTCCTAGATAAAGTTATTTAGATTACATTTTTTATTACTTTCGGATTTACAGATACCAGTTTTTAATTATTAAATCAAAGAGTGATAGAACTTAATATTAAGTAATTAACAAAGCAGTAAAAATGTATACATCATTAGGACGAAAATACGATTGTAGGTGAAATATTTGTTATAATAAATCAATTTAACTCAAATGATTAAGTTGCGATTTTAACTTTAATCTTAAAACGGGGGGGTTCTTTTATCACGAACCAGTCAATATCTCACTGGGTTTAATTAATATTTGAATTTTTTTTTTCATTTAGTTTTTATACAATGTGATTTCAATTTTTCACATTTTGTTTTTGTTTTTACCCCCTCCCAACTTTTGATTTTTTAATAGAAACTTTTAAAACTTAAATGGTAACGTATATATTTTATTACCTTATTAAATTAAGAACAATGTATTACAAATTTTGACTGGTTTCGGAACTATTTTTGAATTTATATAAGTTTAAAAGTTAGGATGGGAGGGGAAGTGCGGTTTGGAAATGCGCACATATAAAAAGAATACTACACTCCACTTGCCTCATTTTGTATACGTAATATAAATGCGTCTTTCCTTTCTTGAGCGAATTTTTCAACGGATACTTTCAATTTACTACAATAGTGTTTAAATACTTTACTAAATATTAATAAATTTATCCAACCTAAAACAAAACGAAAATTTTGAATTTAAATATAAAAAATAATATTTTTTATTATAGGATCACTATGTGGTGCAATTTTTGATAGAGCAATTTATTTTATCTTCGATGTGCAGCTGAAAAAATATTGTTTTTATAGTGATGTGTTTTTCCTTGTCTTAATTAATGTCTGGACTAAGGGGCAGTAACTTTTTTTAATTTTAATTTTATGAACGTACATTTGGGTCTCATCAATTTTAATAGTATATGACATTTTATATAATTATATGTTATTTTTTCGTCACTTTTTACATCTTCCGGACTGTCATTGTTAAACATTTTTAAGACATATACAACGGTGGATAACATCACATCATTTATAAGCGGTGTTGTTAAAAAAAAAAGTTACATATTTTAATTTTTGTAAATGCAAATGAAATGAATTTACTTAAAATCTACTTTTTTACAGTTTTGCATCGAAAATAAAAAAATATATTATTTAATGATAAGTAACGTGCGTAGTTAACATTTACCTTCTGCTTGGTCGAATGATTCTCCAAACCCTAAATTTATTGCGTACTCTTTAAAGGTTTTTAAAGTTTCCTCGTCTTCTTTTACCATGTACAAGCTAAATTGATAAATTGAAATATTTTTTAGTGCCACACTTTGGTCGGGATAGGCCCATTCATTGCACATATTGAACGCATCTTCTATAATCTGAAAATTGTTGATCATTATAAAGTTTAATTACATAAGAAATTATAAAATTTAAATATATCATATACTTAAATATACGTATAACCATTGAGTATTTATAGTCAATGGTGTAACTTACGTGATAATAGTTAACAAAAAAATGTATACTTTTTATTAATTAATTTTAAATAAAAGAACAAATCCAATTTATACATTTTTTTTGATTTGGGGGGAATGTAAATTTTTAATTTACGTACAGGTATGCCAATATAAACACGTCGCATTATTACAAGCTTTGATGTTTTATTACCCAAACTAAAAACTAAAACTTAATACAAACATTATTTTATTGATGCTATAATACAGGGTGATTATTTTATCATGGGCCACTCAATATCTCAAAAACCCTTTGAGATATTGAGTGGCCCATGATAAAGAAATTGAATAAGAAATTCATTTTTTTTTATATATAATATAATCTCAATCTTTCAAATTTTTTTTTTTGTTTTATCCACCTCTCAACTTAGTAAGGAACTTTTGAAACTTAAATGGTAACGTATATCTGTAACAACTGTGAATAAGTGTGTAAGTCGATTTCAGTGGTTTTACAGGAGAGCGATTTTAAACTTTAAGCTGCCATAAGTCAACAGCCATAAGCCAATAACTCACATCTTGCTCAAGATTTTCTGGTTGGTCCAACGAGTAAGACGATTTAATCAAAGTGAGCTAGATGCCTCGGACTTTATCCTAGCGTACTTAGTCAATTTTGACAAAAATTCGACTTACATATATTTCATTAACTTTTTAAATGTAGAGTAATGTACTAAACATTTCGACTGGCTGATAACCAGTTTTGGACAATTTTTTTAAGTTTAATTAATTTAAACATTATTTTATTGATTGCTCAATTATAACACAAATATACTTAAGCTGTTGTAAAAAATAAAAATATTATTATAAACTTTTATGTTTTAGTAACCAAATTAATAAATTATATAAATATTAATCTAGACACGAGACATATAATTTAAATTTAAAAAAAATTGTTTTATTTAGAATACATTTTGTAATACTTTCGCATTTACAGATACTAATAATTAATTATTAAATGAAAGAATATAGAATTTACTTAAATATATTATTTAGTAGTTAACAAAGTAGTATACAAATGAATACATTAGTACAATGTATACAAAAATGTATACATTTTAGGACAAAAATAAAGTTTTAAGTGAAACATTTGTTATATTAAAGCAATTTAACTCAAATGATTAAGTTGCGATTTTAACTTAAATCTTATACAACAATATACAAAATGTTGACAAGAACGTTATTTTTAAGTCTTTAAACTAAAATAATAATATTGTCCTATCTAGAATAGCTATTTAGGAAAACTTTAACCTTTATGTTATAAATAATTCATACATTAACCAAAATATCGATAATAACCCAGAAGTTTTAAAATAATAGTATTAATTACCTCATCATCAGATTTTCCAACTATTTGTAAGTTTTGATACTAAAATTATCATAATTTCTTAGATAAGAATGGCTATTTAGGAAAATTTTAACCTTTATGTTATACATAATTCAAGCACTAAGCAAAATATTGACAAAAACCTAACAGTTTTAAAATAATAGTATAAATTACCTTAGCTAAAAATTCCAGTTTAGGATCCACCGTATCTTTAGCTAAAATTAGTAACAAAGTAGAGAACAATAAAAATATTATAATGTTATATAAAATATTATAATGTTCTATGAAGTAAAACTAGAGGAAACTGTAAGACAACACGAATTATGTATACTGTCTTTAAATGCCGGTTTTATATATGGAATTAAAAAAAAACTAAGGCTATACGAGTACTAAATATACTGCTACTGAATTTTAAGACGCTGCATCTTTTTTAATTTTGAAAATTTGCCAAACCAAACAAACACATCGATGTTATTAACAAAGAGGTGTGTAACTGTTATTTTTAATTTTACAAAAAATAGGTTAGAAATTGTGTATTGCAACACCAATATACATTTTTAACTTGTATCATTATTTCGCTCGATTTTGGTTTTTTTTTGTGTGGACACTTATTATACGTGCTTAGAAATTCGATGTTTATACTAGTATTATACCATAGGTTTAGAGTTTTTTCGAATAAGATTAAATTTCTTATGATTTGTATACACAAATGTGCCACTATATTGTTATTTCTATTGCGCTACATCATTTGACTATTTACAAAACAAAATATGAATGGGTTGAAGCTTTTACGGGTTGAAATATTACGCGGATGACTTTCAGAAGTACCTTTGTCAATATGGGGATAATGATAACCTTTTTTTCTACTGGATCTATACACTGGAATAGCAGCTATATAAATCTGAAATCGAATGCCATTGTTACTTTGGTTGGCCAAACGTCGATAAAGTCAACTTTTTCCCCCCAAACCAGTAAAAAAAAAATTTGTCAGTTATCCAACTTTCAAAATTAACTTGCTATAACTTAGCGAAAACGGTCGGATGTACTCAACAATTTTATCGATTATTTATTAGGCGTTTAAATCTCAGATACATTTTTTCGACGCGCTGACTTCACCTTCTTTTTAAGCGCAGAAAGCATACGAATCTCAAAAATGTAAAAAAATAATCTGGAAATGACACTACATTTATGTTTAACATTTTAATAAAATACATTACATAATTTACTGCATAATAAAAAAACAGGTTATTTTTCAAACAATGCCCAGGCCTGTTTCAGGTAACATATTTAAGTTTTTATAACATTTATTTAGGTTTCATATTAGAATTAAATTTGTTTTAAACGTTTTTTTTAATTAACAACTAAATTCTATATAAATACCTCTTCCCGCTGAATCATTTAAGCCACACCTGAAAAGTTAAAATTTATTTAAAAAATTATATTTTAAATACCAAATTCTAAGTTTGATTACATTTTGTATACAATTTTAAGCCAGAAATAATGTTTAAAAAAATTCTTACGAAACATATGCTGCTAGACTTAGTAAAATTATAATCTTGGTATTCATCATATTTAATATGATACTGGTATAATATTCAACTGTAACGATGTACTTGTCAAACTCGACTGCAAAATCACACTGTGTGGTACTACAGTAATTTTAAGACAAAATGGACTTTTCTACAATTGATTGACATGGTTCATTTCAAGTTTTAGATTTTAGGATTTGTATACACACATGTGTTAATACGTTTTCGTTTTACCGCTCTATACCATTTTGTAAATAATACGAAACAAAATATATTGAAATTTTCAAAAATCCCGTGGAAATGTACAGAAAACGACTGTGGTGTGAAATTATGAAAGCCGAAAATGCAAAGAAAATATAACAATTCTCATGCGATACACGGTTTGGTTATTTATTCTA